AATATCATCAGCAAGAGGGGGCATTGTTAAGTCGTGTGAGGCATCTATGCTTACCCCTGCTGCTCTTTTGTCAAGAAAGTATTTAACTATGTCGGAGATAAATAACAAAAACAAGGTTGGGCTCAGACTTTCACCTTGTAAAAGTCCTAAGGTGATGTCAATATCAGCCAAAAGTGGTCCATTAACTGAAATTTGGATTGAGTCATTATCGTATAGCGTTTTTATAATTTTGATGATTTTTCCTCCTACTCCTAAGGGAATAAGCTTTCTCCAAAGGAATCCGTGATTAATTGAATCGAAAGCTTTTTTGAGGTCAATGAAGGTGCCATATAGATATCTTCTTTCTTTCTTAAACGTTATTCCGATTAGCGCTGAAGATATGGACAAGGACAGTGAACCAAGAAAATTTCTTGAGGCAAGACCCAGAGAAGATGGGAGAAAGACGTCTTCGCCAAGAAGACGTCTTCGTACAACTTATATTGACGAAATTACCAAGCTGGGACAAAGAGGCGAGCAGTTAGGTTATATGCGGGACCTGGCGAAGGTCCGTGATAAATGGGTCGAGGCCCCTCCACGCTGAAAGACACTAATGAGGAAGACAAAGAAGAAGCTTCATGTTAAATGAAAAACGTGAATCACTTAAAAAAATTCATATTTTAAATTTCCTACTTTCCTCCTGGAATGTATGTCAATGGGCCACATTAACTTTTTTGTAGATCTTGCGGAGCTTTGTAGATCTTAAATATGTAATGGAATATATATAATGTATATATATATTCCATTACAGTTTTTTACATAATATTAATAAAATTACTATATATTGATAGAATTTTTATTAAGTTAGTTTTTGGCCAGATATGCATTTTTTATTTTATTTGTTTGTATTTGTTCATTATTGTTATTTTGAGGGGACTTTGTTCCAGAATAAAGTTTATTTTGCTACCTATCTATCGATCTATAACAAAACAGAACAGGGCGAGAACAGATGGCCTGCTCTTCTTCTAGGTAACACATATGTACATAGGCGCCTGCACTAGTTGGGGCAAAGCACTTTCTGCCTCTAGAACCCCCCCCCCCTCCCTCCCAATATTTTATGAAGTTGGTAATAAGATTTTCACTGATCTTCCAATAATTCAGTCATTTACTTAAAAAAGAACTCAAAAAGAGTTCAATCAAAATTATATTATAGGTAATTACTCAAGTTCATTTTCATGCTATTAGGCGTTTTCTCATGACGTAGAATGATCGAAGTCAGTATTTGATTTGGACATTTCGTTTCTAGTTACATTTGTTTGTTTATTACAGGATGGGGAGATGTAGACGATATCAAAACAAATCAATGCGGCCGTTTTTGTTCATCTAAGGGTAGATTTGATGTTCAATTAAGACACCCAGCAACATTAATAATGTTTGATTTTTTTATGTGATAGTAAGATTAAACATCAATGAATAAAAAGATACCGTTTCTCAGTCTCTGGACTTCACTCCATCACTACCTTAGAGGTATCCATACTAGATAAAAAAGATCTACCCTTTTTAAGGTACAATCCCCCGATTAACCGAACTCTTAATTTAGATGCGGAGGTTAGCTACTTATTATACCCTAATCTAACAGAGTGGGCTCAAGCCTCAGTAGAAATTATAAAAGGCTACAATATTTCACTGACGAATCGATGAAAAACTTGACTGGCTTGACTTCAAGAGCATAGGCGCAGACTTTCGATTTTGATTTGGGGGTGATGGACCAAAAAAAAAAAAAAAAGAAATGGCGGGAGATTTTATTATGTGTTAAAATTCAACACATTTATTGTGAAACGAACTAGTATAACATTGAATGTATAAAATGTATATGTTTGTATAATTGTTAGGATTTTTATTTATTTATTTTTTGTTTTACTTATTATATATACTTGAAAATATCAACAACAAAAAATTACACTTAAATATAGATCGTATTTGTTTAGATAAAACACAAAGAGGAGGGGAAGAGGAGATAGCCTTCACAGCATTGCTACATTTTTAGAGCTTTTCAGCTAAAAATAAATAATGTAAACAAATATTTAAATTTAAAAAAAAAATTGATGTGTCCACTCACACGACTATCCTATCTATTTCAGAAAAGTTTTTATATCTTTAAATATATTCATTAAGAAATAATTTTTTTTAACGAAATTTACAACTGTAATTAATAATAAATACAAGTGAATATGACCAAGTAATATGACATGTACAACATGAAGAGAAACTACCCATTGGTAGCACTCCAATTATATTTCTATATTAGAAGTTCCCGAGGCCATCTTCTTTTCAGACGCCTCGCAGAGTTATCAGGAATAGAAGAGGAAGCAAGGTTGGAAACGAGAGGGTTCGGATGGTTCAGAAGTTTATTATGAAAGGACAGGTATCTGGATTGAGCTAAATCGGAAACATATGTTACATTAAGGTCATTATGGATGATTTTATTTGTGACAAAGTAGGGAGTATTAAGGATTTTGGATTGTAGGGATTGGATACGAGAGGAATTTGATGGTTTAGTAGAGCCCCAAAGCTCGATCCCCGATTGCACTGCTTGGCTGTGGCGGTCGTAGTGGTCGTGTATTTGCGACTGCTCGCTGTACGACACCAGTGTTCAACTGGTCGTGAAAAAGTTCCGGCCAGCCATCTAGTTTTACTGTGCTGACAAGAGGTGGAAAGCTGTATAGTAGGATTTGGCCTCTAAGCAACGGTTGTGTGGTTGCATCTCTGTGTTCTGTCCGGGGGGGGGGGGGGTTGAGACTAGGTTGGAGGTCGGTAGAGACCTTCGGGTTAGGTACGACACCCCGCCGGTACCCGCACTCCACAGCATAGGAGTACTGCCTCTGTAGCTTTTCTCTTTCGCCGGCAGTGAAGAAGAGTTGAGATAGTGACAGATGGCATTCCTAACTCGGTAGTACCGAACGCACCGGAAGTCCTTTAAGTTCCCGAAAATCCGAAGATTCAAGTAATCCCCCAGATTCAAGAAATCCCTCCATTACCGAGGGACATATTGGCGGAAGCGCATGCTAATGCTTTAAAATGGATGAAAGTAAGAGTAGCGCCCACTCAGGGTTTAAGGAGGCCGATTTCGGCCGTAAGACGCTTCAGTGGAGATGTAGGAGAGCTCGATATTTTTTTTTTAAGGTGATGACCATTTCATGTCCAGAATAGAGGCGAAAGTTTCAGAAAACTTGGTTAACCTGGGAGACGCTGAAGCATTGAAGGCAACCCTAGTATGTAAGGTGAGGAGAAACATCCTGAACCAGATACAAGCAGACGAGGAGACACCATGGCCGGTAATCAAGGAGAGGCTGAAGAAGGCGTTTGGGGGAGGCAGGTGGACCCTAAAAGAAGATATTTTTCAGATGTTCAGAGAGCAACGGTCGCCGCGACAGACGGGTGGGCAGTATGCCGGAGTACTACAGCCAAAGTATAATCGCATCACTGAGAATATATGCGAAATGATGAGTGCAGGATGGTATTTTTGTCAAACATTCTTAAGGTTCAAATAGCGAAGGAAACTGGTAAAGGAACGGGTTACCTAAAGAACGGTCGTTCCTAGAGTGTTTCTAGAAAATGGTAGATCCTAGCGCCAGAGTAGAATAAAATAAGATGGAGGTAGAGGAAGCTGGATGTAGCCGCTTCAGCGCCGCACCGAAAGGGGGAGAGAACCCGGATATGTGAACAGAGGAACAGCCACAACAGGAAAAAGAAAACCGGGACCACCCAGACCACGGAATGGACACTGAAAGGAAAAGAGAAATGAATGAATAAATAAACAATAATTTTGCTTTGTGGCTACAGTCCCCTAAGAATAATAACAGAAATACATAATTAAGAACATTAGTCTGGCTTATATGAATAAAATATTATGAATAATTTACTGTTATTGCAATTGTGTAGTTAATTGAATTATTCAGTGCACAGTCGCAAGTAAATTTAACATATTTGCGGAAGTTTAAATATGGAATAGGTGATGGGTCAGGAGTTGTTTCAGGAATTTCTGGACGAGGATTGACGTATGCAGTTAAATAGAGAGTTTCAAAAGGAGATAGCACAAATGAAGAACGATTTGCTGAAGGAAGCAGTTTTATTCATTTAGTCCGAGAGTCTATGAGAAAAAATCGATATTATTGGAATACAACTTTAAAAAATGTTTATAACATTTATATTTAAAAATCAGTCTGCCAATCGGATCTTGCTATCTATAAAAATGGCGTCTGGTGAAAAGAATATTAGACCAGTAACTTGAGGATCGTAACGGAAAATTCATTGCGTAAAATGTGGAAAAAGTTTTTATTTTTTTAACCTGTATATAAGGGTTAAGATATGTAAAAAACATAATAATGAGACATAAAAAAAAAAAAAAATCATGTAGAAATAACGAATCCCGATCCGAGAAATAGAATTGATCTATATTAAAACTGTTAGTACTCAGTGGACGCGGAATTCGATGCTCTATAACTTCTATCCTGTGAGTTTTTCTCTTACTTACCCAAATTTTTAAGTTTAGGTACTCGTTCGGCTTATAATTTAACTTTATTTAATTTATGAAAGAAAAGGTTTTTCGCTTTGTTGCACCGTTTAGGAACTTTAGGCGAAATAACAAAAAAAGGTCGAAATAATCTGGCTTTCTTAGCTATAAAAAGTTTTCTCTTTTTTCTTTATAATATAATAATCAGTACTTGGATAGCGCCTTGCCAAGTTGTTGAGTAGAATGCATGCCCAAATACATGATATAATCATTCAAGAAGAAATAGCGAATGATAAGTAATTCTAAGTTAACTTACTAATTAGGATTTTTGTTTAAGTCAACTGTAGGAAGAAGTAAAATTATATGGTATATGAAAAAGTAATGAGTAATATTTTGAAACCACTAATTAATTGTTAACGTTTTCATTATGTTTTCTTGAAATAGTTGGATTAATGCAAAGAGGTATGAATTTAGAGATACTTGACAACCTCTTTGTTGTTACTTTACCAATCTCAGTACCTTGGTTGTCCTTTCGTGTAGTGGCATCGTTCCAGGTTTGTACTCTCATATTGTTTTCCTTATTTGTTGTAGCCTATTCGGGACTTTTAGAAATTAAATATAGTGTTAAATAGTTTTATGCCATCGGAATTTTATATTTTTCTTATGAATGATTTTCTGGATAAACTTGGATTACTGTGTAGTAGCCACATGGTGGCGGTTTGTTCGGTTGTGTAAACTTGACGAGGTTACTTTTTATAAAGATTTTTAAATTCTGAACATTAGTTTTGAGTCTATTCTAGTTTAAAAGTAAGGTTCGATTTACTATTAGAAAGGAAATTTCAAAAATTTACCAAATTTGTCAGCTCTGGTAACTTCCTTTCTCTTCAGGTACATATCAACAATCAAATGTTACATTAGTTCTGTTTTGAAATTCTGCCTTAATACTTAATCCTATCTCAATGAAACTTGTTTTCAACGGTTTTGTTTGTTTATTATTGGTGTAAGATTTTTTTTTTTTTTTTTTTGATGATTACTTAGCTTCTCTGAAGCATCATATTCTCTTTATGAAATTCGCAAATTTATTTATATGTCAAATCAGTATTCCGTGGGTTTATGATTCTGTTTGTGTAATGTTTCTGAAATATTGTCGATAAACTGCCTTTTTGGTTATTAAAGATTCTAGAAAATTATGCATCTAGGCTATTTGAGGTCATGGTTTATAGTTTTATCTATTAATTTATTAATGTTTAATTTTGAACCTTAGTGGTTTTCCCATCATTTGATACATAAAGTTTTTTTTTTCAAAGTCAAATATGGTATGTTTATGTTACATCATAACAAATTTACCTGTGCATGATGCTAGAATAATAATAACTTAGCTCTAGATCATCTTACAGGTTTCAGCTTAAAGTGATTTAAACTATAGTTCCTGCAAATTTTGTTTTTAGTAATCATGTTGCATTTCATAATAACTGTGTTTTTATTTTATTATTTTCATCTGTTGCTAACAAATATTTTATTTTTACTTAATTAAGAAGAAAATGATGGAAAGGTTCCTCTTAATAACATATATAATTATACTAAGTGGTTTAAAATTATTTTGAAGCAACAGATGATGATGATTTGTATGGTCTAGCCTAGGTCAGTTTCTTAGATTGAACTGTATAAATTAATTTTTCATTTTGTTGTGCCAACCCATTTTTTTATTTCCAAGTTATAAGTTTAAAACAGAAATAACTTGCTTGCTCTATTTAATGACATGGTAAAAATGCCTTAAACAATGTTTGATTTGAGTATCGATAATCTTTAATAATAAGTTGGCATTGCTTTTTCTGAATATTTTGACTTTTTCAATTGTACAGCTTTTATAAGCTAATTAAAAAAATTGTGCCCAAAGATTGTTATTAGAAGTAACATAACCCTAACCATGTTCGATAGACTTGGAATTTCAAATTGTGGAAAAAAGATCTCTCATTTGAACAGATATACAACGTATTACATTCAATTTTAAGTAATAATACTTCAATTGAACTTAAGTTTAAGTTTGCTGTTAATTTTTACTAAATTGTAGCTATTAATTTAGCTCTTTATCTTTAGATATTTTATCTTACAGGTTTATTTCAAATTAAATTAAAAAAATTTCTTTGGTCATGTTCTAATGAGCAATAAAAAAAAAAAAAAAAATAGGTGTGGGCACCCCATCTTAATATATATATATATATATATATATATATATATATATATATATATATATATATGTATTATTTTTAGTTAAGTACATAGAAATAGTAAAAAACGAGATCGAAGTTGTCTAAACTGGCAGTTTTGATATGTGGGTATCGTTGATAATGACCTTGAAGAGGGAAAAGCCACCTTGGTGTGGTTAAAGATGTAGGTAGTAGGTAGCTTTTATTATAGGCACTCCAAATTTCATTCTGTGTACACATGCTAAATTTTCTGGTATGAATTATTTTATGTAAACTCACACATACATATGTATATATCTTAATTCTTTTTAAGTAAACAAATTATATATACTAAATCAAACTAGTGAGACTATTTACATAATACTACAATTATATACAATACAAATAAGAAATTAAACAAACTATATATAAATGAATGTTTATTTATTTTGTTTATAAATCAATTAATATTGATATTTTAATAACTATTATTATTCTTTATCTCATTTTTAAAATTATTTTTGATCACCTGTTTTTAATATTAAAAAGAAATAAATCTATTACTACTATTCTATTATTTTTGGTTGTATTTAATCTATCACTACTATTCTATTATTTTTTATTGTATTTAATTTATCAATATTATTTATTTATTTTTTATTCCTTAATTATTAACAATACAAGCCGTTAGGTTTGTCTGTTGTATGAGATTATATCCCCACTTTGCCATCTGTTAAGCATTTTTTTAATTGTTAAAATAGATATGTTTGACTCCCCAAGCCAATTTGGAAGTTAAGAATAATAAAAGATAATTTTTTTATTAATTAGATGGTGGTCAATTCAAAAATCCAGAAGGCCGGAGGAGCTGAGCCTGATGCTTTTGAGGCATCTATTGCTCAAGCACTCTTAGACTTGGAGATGAATAGTGATTTGAAGGCTCAATTAAGAGAACTTCATATCACTAAAGCAAAGGAACTAGATTTGGCTGGAAAGAAAGTAAGTTTCAACTTATAAATTTTATCTTTTAAAGTATAGCTTATTTTTTGAGGCTAGTTAATACTAAAGGAAAAAAATTAAGCTTTATTTAGTAAGTAGTAAATCATTCATTCTTCATGTTTTAACATCTTTTTCAATGACTTGATCTTATTTGTAGTTAATTTATTCGGAATAAATAATATTCTTTTTTTTTAATTTAATTTATTATTATTCATTAAGTAGGCTTGGTTTTATGGCCTTGTTGCCCTAAGGTAAATGGATGGGGAAAACAATTAATAAAAGCCTTGAACTAATAAAAACTGATTTTAATGCTTAGTGGTGTCCTACAGCATTGTAGGCCATCCTTAACTAGTTCACATTGTTAAGCACATTAATATATTATTCCATCGTTCAATTAATTATCAGGGTATCCAGCTACCGGAAAAATCTGGAATTTAAAAAAAAAAAATTACTTTTAGAATAAATATTTTTATTGATTATTAAACAGCTTTTGAACAGTCACATTGTGGCTGTATTTTTCCTTCAAAGTCATAGATGTTATTCGTTTTTCCATGAAATACCATCTACCTCAATAGGAGCCTATCGGGAAAACAGGTATTGGATGGCAGGTCAGGACATGGATTTCCAAAACTATTAATTCTTGCAAATGTAATGATCTGCTAGCTGAACCGTGCGAATACTCCATACAAACCTGATATTTGTATCGGGAATTTTTTTTTACTTTTTGTAGGGAATTTAGTAAGCTTTCAAATACTCTTTGTATAATGTACCAAAAATCGTGTACTTTTCGAGTTATTCGCGAATTATAAATTCATTTGTAACGTCTCGATTCGTTGAGACGGCACCATCATATTTTTTTTTTACACCTCCCTTTTTGACAATTTTTATTGTTTAAAACTTCCCACTTTTATTTAACTCCTGATATAAAATTAAGAATCAAATTAATTATGCATTCTACATGATATTCTCTTTCTATTGATACCTTACTCGTCTAAACCCATCACTTCTGAGAACCGAAAAAGTGGTTTATATTTGAGAAATAGTAAATAAGGTTATAAAGTTGTGTAAATAGATATATTTTCATATCGATCTCAAGAAATATTTAATTAATTGATGTCGAATACAATGATGTAAAAGAATTTATATAATCATCGAGTAATTATAATACAAAACCATCAAAAATGTTACAGAAATAAGTTCACTTTGAAATTATATTATCTATTACAAACAACAGCTATTTCATGGTTTGCATCACTTTTTGCTTTAAGTGAAATTATATCAAATATAACTAGGCAGGTACCCTATGTTCGCCTAACAGTGGACCAACCCCCATTTCACAAATTATACAACTTCATTTAATTGTACAACTCTTTTCTCAAATTGTATAACTGTAATTTACATGATTATATAGTTCACATTTTATTATTTTTTATTAACATAGTATATACTGAGTGAAACCGCAGTTTAAACTAATTTTTAATTTCCTTAAAAATTATACTGTATACCACGCCTTATTGCCAAATTGTAATATAGAGTCATTCCATACCAAATAAACCAGGGCCTGACCCATTGGATCTTGGATTTTATAATTTTGTTGTTATTTGTTGAATGCATTAATATAAAGAAAAATACAAAATTTTAGATTTTTGAGTTATAAATTTTGAAAATAGTAAAAATCCTAAAAAAAATATGGGTTTTTTTAAATAGTTTTGTTGCTATTTCTGAAGATCTATTTGACCTAGAAAGCTGAAACCCATGTCATCTTTTTCAGTTGTTTCTAATCTTTCTTTTGATTAATGACTTGACTGTATTATAAAATTATAATGTTTTGTAAAGATAACCAAAACCTTTATTTTTGAATTTTGAAAAAAAAAAAAACTTTCGATTTTTACTAATAAATTATCTTATTCTAGCATATGGTGGCATAAGGTTTGTCAAATTTCAAAGTGGAGAAACGATGGGTTCATTAGATAAAAAATGTTAATAAATATGTATATAAGCCTAGATTTATTATGTTTTACTTATATAGTCTTAAGATGCATTAAATATTATTCTTTATTCTCTTCCTGTATATTTCCTCTAATAATGGTACTTACCCTATTATGATTACCTTGACGGCGTTTACAATTTTCAAAGTTCACAAATTCATCAGCTGCACCTTATAATTAGTTTCTATACAGGGTGTCTCGTAAGTAGAGAGCGATATTTAAACAGCTGATGACAGACATCAAGATCTACAAGAAAAGTTAATATAAACATTTGGGAAATTCAAGATTTTCCTGCTCAAAATTATTCCGCGAGTTTTTAAGTGAGTCATGTTTTTTGTTCAATAGAAAGCAATAACTACAAAAATATTTTATTTAAGTAATTTACGATTGCTCTATTGCAAATTAGATAAAATTATTTAAAATCAAAACAGAGTTTGTAATTGTAGAGACCATTAAAAGAGGACTTATGAGAAGCTGAAATCATTAAGCTATCTTTTTTTGTTTTTCCTAATGACCCTCAAACTATACTACAGATACCCCATTTTCCTGATTAATACATATAAATGCTTACCTTTAGATAAATACTTTCCTAAGGTTTTAAATATAATTTTTAAATCATTTTACAAATTTCTTACTTGATATTCTAATTTAGAGAGGCCATAGAAATGCGCAAAGTGTTTGAAAAGTGAAAAATGGTTTGTGTCAAAACACACCTCTCAAATAAGGGGCGAAGTGGTCAAGCGGGCTAACACACGTGCTATACGCGCTGTCCGGCAACATGATAAACAGGTGTTTACAAGATAAAATAATTACAAGTTCCCGTCCTGGTGCCTTAAGGGCTTCAAACTCTGTCATTAATCTCTTGCCCTCCCTGACAGGGGACGGATAAAAAAAAAAAATCTTTATTTAAATTCAAAACCTATTTGATATAAAGGGACTTCCTTTAAAAAAATAATAAATTTATGTATTAGGCGTTTCCAGAATATCCCATATATATGTGCAGACTAGTACTCAAATATACTTTTCATAAAATAAAATTAAAAGTGTAATATGAGTATAAGTTGCGATAGGAGCTTTCATTATACTGTAAGCATTCAGCTGTACTCATTTTTGTTTAATTCAGGTGTTTGTTTTCAAAACCGATTACAGCCATTTTCAAAAAGGCTTCAGAACTTAACAAAAGAGGGTGTATAGAACCACTTTTGATAGGAAATAGAATTTTTTGATGATCTTAACGGTTGTGGTTCACATATATCTAATTTTATAAAAATAAACACTAAAAACTTGTGAAAAAGATAAATATATATATATATATATCAATAAATCGATGTAACCTCTTTTGAAACAAACGTCTCATGCAAAACAGAGGTATTCCTGGAGAAAGAACTACAAAAACCGGAAAATGTACTGGAATTTTTTGGAGGAGAATCACTGGACACCCTGATCATATTTATTACTTAAATGGAGTAATTTAATAAATAACGGTCATTATTTATTTTTGCCTGTAAACTTGAGAAATTATTGATCGATTGCTGAGCAGTAAGTAGCCTGGTACAAACCACTCACCCAGGCGTCTCCAAACTACAAATCCATTTGAATACATTCAATCCGGCCCGCATAAGTTTTTTTGAATACATGTTAATATTATGAAAACCCTTTGAAGATATGAAACTTAGCTAATTACTCACCCACGAGGTTGCTGCAATATTTATTGCATTTTTTTTTATCTTAAAAAGCTCATATCACAGTTTAAGTGTTATTTATAGAATCCAATTATTTGTTTTTCATCACTAGCCATGGCCCGCAGGCCAACAAGTTTGGAAGACCCCTGCACTTACCTATCATACAATGTCTTTGCCTCTATTATGTTCTTTATTATGATCAATTGTATTTGATCTTCTAATGTCATAAGCAGAAAAATTTAGAGGAAGATTAATTCTTGCCAGATCACCTTAATCAAGAAACTACCGTTTTTTTGTACTTGAAACTATGACTCATCATATGTTGTGTGGTTCAAGTTTTTATTAGTATAATTTTCTCCTATTATATATTTATACTTTTTTTAAGCTTAATTTTAAAAAAAGAAGCTTATTAATATAATGATTTAACTGATTTCTTAAAATTTGTTTTTCAGTCTATCATTATCTATGTTCCAATGCCTCAATTGAAGAATTTCCAAAAAATCCAGATTAGGCTTGTCAGAGAACTGGAGAAAAAGTTTTCTGGAAAACACGTTGTGTTCGTTGGAGATAGGAAAATCCTTCCAAAACCTACTAGGAAATCGAGAACTCAGAGTAAACAAAAAAGGCCAAGGAGGTAATATAAATATCTATTAATATCAACTACCCTGCTTGTTATTGCTGTATTGATTTTTTGTTATTACTTGTTTAATTTTTAATATATTGGAACCTTTGTTTTTACTTCTTTGAAAATAAATGACATCTTCATTAACATATGAAATTTGAAAGAAAGAAAAAACTTCATCTTGAATTTATTACGGGTTTTTGTACTGTTGCTTTTATCGTTGGTTCGGATCCTCCACATTCCATTATTATGCAAGGTATCAAATATTTTTCTTAAGATATGGTATTTAAAGAAGGTATTGTACTTTTGTTAATGTTCTGCATTCTGAGTCACAGGTTAGCACAGGCCTTATAAGGATCTTATAGATTCTAACCTTCTTGGATCTAAAGATTGTTGTATATTTTAAATGCTTTAGGGAGGCATTAACAATATTTGTTATGAAACAACAGTCTTCTCTGAATATCTGCTGTTTTTTATTATCAGAATTTACCTGGGGGCATAGGTAAAGCAATTCTCAACTCTCTCAAAGATGATATTGTCAATTTCTAAATAGAGACAACTTTGGATAGCTCCATGAGTTCCTGCAACCAATTATTTGTTTGTTTTTTTCCGCATTTAACTCGTTCAAGTCCAAGAAATGTCTCACTCATATCCATAAATATCTTTCCGATGATATCCAAATCATCTTCAAAAGCCAGATTTGTTAAATATTATCCCTCCTTCCTGGATTTTCTATTTTCTTACTGTATACTCCTAGGCCAAATTAAATAGTAAGCATACAAGACAGTAACATTGCCTTAACCCTTTATATGAGTGAAAACTTCACTTCACTGAAAACTTCAAGTGTCACTCTCTTAACTTAAACATTGCATTGTATTTCTTCTCTAGTGACTTCTATCAGACAGATAAGTTGAGATGTTATTCTTATTTAAAGCAAAGAAAGCCTTATTCAGTTCCTGTCTGATAATGTTGTCATAGGCTTTCTGGGAATCTATAAGTAAATGGATAATGTCGAATATTGATAAAATATTGTTTCCTTTCACATCTGCGCCCTACCAATTAGTTTCATTAATAGTCAAAAAGTTCAGTGGACCAGTTGAAGGGTTAATTTCTGTATCAATATTATTTTAGTAAATTGTGTCTTAAAATACTATGTGTGTTTGTATCAATGCATACTTAAAATATTAATTTATTGTTTAGTCGAACTCTTACATCTGTTTATGATGAGATTCTGGAAGATATGGTGTTTCCAGCTGAAATTGTTGGTAAAAGAATCCGTGTAAGGACTGATGGCAAACAGATCATCAAGGTTCATCTTGACAGATTACAACAGGTCAATATTGAAAACAAGGTATGTCATTAGTAATTTTTATTTTCACTTACCTGTATATGTAATATATAATAAGTGTAAGTACTGCAATCTTTAAAAAATTTTAATGAAGTCGTACAAAACTGAAATTACGTATTTAAGTTAAGGTTTCTATATGCCTGGGATGTTATAGCAACTTTTTCTTCAAGATCGGCTAATCCGAAGTGCCACTTTATAGAATTGATTAAACGCATTTTTAAGATTTTCTCAAAAACGACTCCAACGATTTTTATTAAACTCGGTGTATGGATGTATAATTAAATGATCTTTAATATCATTTAAATCTTATCCCCATTGATGTCCCTTAAAATGGCTTAAATGCCCTATGTTCAAAATGTCTTCCTCTAAAGTACCTTAATTTAGTTTATTTTAAATAATTAACTATCTCTCATTGTAAGTCCCACAAAATGGTGTGTGTGTATGTGAACAGCCTAGCACAAAAACAAAAAGTCGTACGAAACTGAAATTACGCATTTAAGGTTTTTATATATCTAGGATGTTATAGCAACTTTCTCATCAAAATCGGCTAACCGGAAGTTACTCTTTATATCGATTAAATTTGATTACACTTTAAATCGATTAAGCACATTTTTACAATTTTCTCAAAAACGGTTCTAATGATTTTGAGTAAGCTCAGTGTACCAATGTATAATCAAGTAACCTTTAATGTCATTTAGGTCATTCCCTATTGTCGCTTTACAGGGCTTTAATGCCCGATATTCAAAATGTCTTCCTCTAAAGTACCTTTAGTTTGGTTTATTTTAAATAATTAACTATCTCTCATTGTTAGGAGTTATGAAAAAAGGCTAAACTAACTTTTGAAAAAATTTGATAATTGAATAAAGGAGAAAAGAGGAATAATGTTAATTTAGGTCGAAATTGAAATTCCGGAATTAATAGTCAGAAGGTATATGTATAATGTATCGTTGGAAAGTGGGGATTTTAGAAAAAACAATATCTTATATCGAAAGTTGAAGAAGGTATTAGAGAGTGACAAAAAAAATTATAAATAATAATTTGTGAAAACTAATAGTGTTTAACAAAAATCACATGTTTCCCAAGAAATTTCCTGACTAAATGTAAACTTTTAAATTATTATTAAGCTTGAAAAAAAAGTATGTTGTGTGTGGATACCATAAGTACTTAAATGGTAATCCCATCAAATTTTAGTTCATTTTTGCATGGTCGTGAAAATGTTGCTACTTTAGAATTTAAAAAAAATCTAGAAAATTGGTAATTTCAATTACCAAAATTAATGGACACCATGTGTATGTGTTATTGTACAACTATGTAATCAAATTATTTTTCAAGTTATTACCATCACATAACAATTTATTTATTGATTTCAATTTTTTTTTTATTTTTAACTTTTACAATAGCAAATATCAACATATTTATTAATCTGTTCTAAGATATAAGCATTAAATGTATAAGTTTTCTGATACTTTAATTAAATATGTGCGTGTATATATATAAATTTTTTTTTGTTCTAGATTGACACATTCACATCAATTTATAAGAAACTGACAGGCAGAGAAGTTACTTTTGAGTTCCCACAACCCTATCTCTAAGGACATTTCATTTTATATATTTCATTATATATAAATTAATGTAAAATATTAATAAAAAAATTATTAAAACCCATCTGCTATTTCTATATCAATTCCATCAATTACTTTCATGTTTAAATGAATTTTAGTGGTGTTTTTTAGCTTTAACTGTTGTCTAACAAGTGGATTACAAGTTTATCACATTCATTGTTATATTTTAGGTATATAATTTCCCCAAAAAATGCTTGTTATTTACAAAAGTATAGGTCCTCGGTCATTTCAGAATGGCATTCATGGATCTGGCGATCCCAACTAGCCGAACTCATATAGCACAAGCCCCCTTATAACGTTATTATCTTTATTATCGATTTCCCAACAAATAAAAACATTTGATTTTAGTGGATTAAAAAAAAAAAAAGAGAAGAAACGAGTGTGTATGCGTATTTAAGTTTTTATTTAGGTATATAGTTATGGTTTATACACCAATATGAACTATTTACTATCTAAATTAGAAACCATAGTGTAAGTTAATAGACTGACTCATTATTATTTATCTCTAAACTTTAACCAGAAATAAAAAATATTAGGTAAAAATAAAATTGGGAAATATAAAACCCTACACACTAGTCTCAGACAGAAGTAAAATAGCACTGGGGCCAGGACCCAAAAATCAACCTCATTTCAGATGGAGGTTTGAATGTAAATTGTTAAAGTGTGTTATTTTAAGTGAAATGGAGTTTCCATTCCAGAGCTGCTGCTTACAAAAAATGGCGCCTTATTTAAAGAAGAATATTAGGCCAGTAACTTCAGGATCCAAAACTGGAAATTCATTGAGTAAAGTTTTTATTTTTTTAACTTATATATGTGTGTTAAGGCATGTAAAGAAAAAAAAAATGCTTAAGTGAGCCACCAAGGAAAAACCCATTACAGCCAAAAATGTCAGATATTGTTTTCTTTTTTCACCTATAACTACTAAATGATGCATCACAGAGAATAATGTACTCTTTCAGAGATTACAGAACGTTAAATTGTGCAGTGAATGAGTACTGAAATTCAATAATTTAAGTGGTATGGTAGAAAACCAGTCAACCAACTTACCATGTTTTGTGGATGCAAAATTTGATGTTCTACAATTGTTATTCTATGGGGTTGTTTCCTCTTAAGAAACTCATTTCCATGCTAAAGGACCATTTATAGTAATTTTCTCAATTTTTTACTAATTTGATAAAACAACATTAGTCTGTGGCCCAGACTCCCCCACATCCCTATAAATTGCATATCATTGTGTTCCTTGTAACTATTTATTTTAAAAAAGCCAATGTTTCCACAAAAAAAAAAAGTGAATGCACTGCCCCAAACATGGCAGATTGAAGACTTTAACTTTAGTTAGTTTTATTGGTCACAGAGAATCACCATTTGGCTTAATTTCGTCAGTTGGTCTTCTATTAAAGCTGGATAGTTAGGGAATAATAAAATATTTAAAAAATAATTGGCTTAGGCAATAAAAATACCAGTTAAGTCAATTTTTTTAACAACTAAATCTTCAAGTTGAAAATCGAGCATCGATTGTAATTAAATGGCCAACAATAACGCAAAACGTGCTGAAATAAAACATCTGGAGAATATATTCCTCTTTCTACAACACTGATTACTTTTAAAATATTTGAAGCATTTCCCTAGAAAATGCAGAAAAGGGGTACTGGTATAGGTGCCTACAGGCCTCTAGCACACCATTTATTACTCATAAATGGCTTAGTTATAGTGATATAATAACGTTTTTGGTACATTATATTGATTGTGTTAACGAACAAATATTAAAATAATTTAATTGTCCAAAAAATTAAACAATTTATTTTTAATTCAATTTTTTTTTTTCTATAAGGAGGTCATTTAAGAAGGCCTCTATTGTAAAAATGATATAAGTATAATAATAAAACTTAATTCAAAAATACTTTGCTGAATATCTTGAATTTTTTATTTAACACATTGTTTTGTATATTTACTGATTCTTATAGGTAATTTAAATTTTATATAATTCTCCGGAAATGAGTCATATTAATACCTGTTTTATAAACAAAAATAATATATACTTAATCTGAACTACATATAATGAATAGTTATTAAGTAAAACTCATATATCACAAATAAATTTTTTATTTCCTTATTTTGTGCGGAAGTTGGATCATATCATAAAAAATAGGAAATTTTAATATTTAATGCATTATTTTCTCTGCACAAAGAAAGATGGAAAGGGCGATGCAAAAAGTTCGGGAACTGGAACCGATTGTTAGTATTTCGTCTCAAAATGAGGGAAAACGTAAAATTGAACCCAAAAATTGGAAAAATACATTTAGCGAACGTGAAACGAAGTGCCGAAAAGCAAACAAGGACAGTATCCATTACACAGCTAAAGGCATATATAGTAGACAGAGGAACAGATTATTTCAAGAGGCTGCTAAAAGGGGGTCAACTGCTAGAGTCGTTTAGATGATATTAAAGGGACGATGCAGGTTTATTGTGGTGAAGACCATTTTATCAGCGAGAAAGATTTGTTCGAAGGAATTGGCAAGCCAACTGGTCTGGATGAAGTAAACGAGGTTTATTATGGAGCCGGGGTCAAAATACAGACCTCATAGCTTGCGGAAAAAAAAAATGGCGGCCAAGCAAAGAGATCCAACTTTGCCGAAAATGGACTTCATCGCAAGCTAGATGAATCTTTCAACAGTGAAGCACCATTTTTGAGCATTCTGCTTTTTCTGTGCCGCAAAAGTTGCAATTTTTCAAATTATTTCTGCCAATGGAATATTTTTTAATGAAAATGATGTCTTTTGGAAAGAAGGGATAACGGAGTCTAGAAGGTCATTAAGAACAATATTGGAAATATCCAGTGCTAAAGAATTTCCCATGGCTAGGGCTGAAATATGGTTAAAGAATTTTCCTTGGAAAGTGAGGTATCCGGATCTGCAACAAAGCTCAAGAGATTCAAGGTATGAGGAGAGGTTGATGGTGGTGTGAGGTTCGATGATTGTCCAGTTTTTCTGTGCAATATGGAGACCTTTGTTTATTAGGATGTTGGTAAATAAGCTTTCGGCGTCTAGGGAAACAAGGATAAAGTTGTCTGAAATATGGAGAAAAGACAACTCTTCTTTGAGGTGAAATGAATTATTAATGTCATAAGGATTATTGTGGCTAAGTTTTTTGAGAGAGGGTAAAAGGAATTTGCTGAGTTTAGCAGAGGGGGGCGTTTATATTAGAGATGATCGGGTGGAGGGGATTTCCAGGTTTGTGAATTTTTGGGAGTCCATATAAACGGGGTGCTAAAGAGTTGTAGGATATGAGGTTGTAGTTAGTGGGATGGTTAATTTGTTAGCGGGGGTTGTTACCCCCGCCTACACCAGTACCGCTTTTCTTCAGCTTAAGTACATTTTCTACCGAACTGCTTCAAATATTTTACAAAGTAATCAGCGTTTTAGAAAGAAAAATATATTCTCCAGATGTTTTATTTCAGCACGTTTATTGTTTTGTATGCGTTATTATTGGCCGTTTAGTTTCAAACGAAAATAAATAATAAAATCAAAGAACAATATTTGTTTTTTTTCTATTGAACTTCTTTTAAAATATATTCCAATAAACTTTGGCTTATTTCGATTTACATTTTATTCATCTAATTCTCTCATTGGCAAATTTTACAAACAAATTTATATAATTATTAAAACATTAAACAAAAACTGATTGAAGATTAACTTTCATTGGAAAACCAGAAACTCAATTCTAAGTCAGCAACCATGAAACTATTTTTATTTTTCTTCTAAATATTCTTCTTTAAAAAAAAATTTAAATAAATGTAAATTAATTAATGTAAATTTAATAAATATAAATTATTTAATGTAAATCTAATAAATATAAATTATTTAATGCAAATTTAATAAATATAAATTATTTAATGTAAATCTAATAAATATAAATTATATAATGCAAATTTAATAAATATAATTTATTTATTTTGACTTTGTTACTTATGACTGAACACCATAACTAGTGTTGCCCAAATGGGAGCCCAAGATGGTTTTTATTCTTGCACACTCAGTCTTGGTCTTCGTCTTGTGCAAGTCTCACAACAGTCTTCCAGTTACATATTACTGCAATCTTCAGAAATAGCAAACCTAAATAAGCCCGAATGAAAAATTGAGAGTTAAATTCCAAAGGATATTGGTTATACCTATTCTTTTCATATGGTAACTGAATTTATCAAGTTTTAGTGATTATTTTACCTTATTTTTTATTCATAAAAAGGATTTTTTTTTACCAGTCTTGATCTTTGTCTTGCAACAGTTAGCAGCATTATTCTTGGTCTTGCGCAAAGTGCACGACCAAGATCGATTTTGGACAACATTAACTATTATAAATCTACTATTATTAAGAATTTAAATAGTTCAAAATTTGATCCTTGATTAATAGAATCATTTCTGATCATTGATATTAAAATATTTTTTATGAAATGGTTTACCTCTTAACATAATGTAGATATTGTATATTGCATTTAAAGTAGAAAAAAAAATTTGTTCATTTTACTTTTAAACCTGTTAAAGGTGGTAGGAGAATATTTGTTTCGGAGTGGTATGACTTAGTTTTTGTATAATTTGAAAATTTCTATTTACCTATCAATATCAATATACCTGTTATCAATGAAATGGATTAGTATGATAAATTGTAATAATGTTCGTCACACCTGAATTTTCCATTAGTCCAGAATCTAAGCTTTCCCTTGTTTTATTTATTTTTCATTACTTTTTTGGGAAATTAGAGATTGTTGGCTATAATATATTTTCAATTTCATCACACAGGATGAACCTAGTAAAAAAACTAATAGTGAAACATGAAACTGTAAGGATAAAATATAATCAATTATCAATTGATTGAAGAACTATCCAATTTAACTTGAAAAAGAAAACATTTTTAATCAACAAAGGAATATTAAAAAATAAAAGATAAAACAGAATATTTATTTATTTACAAAGGAATTTAAATTTATAAATGCTGCACATATGCATTTACAGACTCACTGTTAAAAACACACATATGAGGGAAATTCG